CCCCAAAACCCCAAAACCCCAAAACCCCATGAAGCATTTTATTAGCTATTTCATGAAAATAAGATCAATTATAAAATTTTAAGGTGGGTTTTATGAATATAATCAATCCATTTCTTCATCAAAATCAAAGCATTCAATATCATCCATTCTTACTTGAGCAAGCATTGCAGTAATTCCAGTAAGTTCCTCAAGATAATCAGGCTCATTGCAAGCTCTAAGAATGAAGGCATCTCTGTCATTCTGGTAGGCTTCGATGATCTTGTGTGAACAACCAATACATTTGTCAAAAGCCTCTCCATACATTACATTTATATTGAAAGAAGATAAATCACCTCTGATTTATTGAGGGAGTATGCCAAGCTCTGTTCTATCGCATTAATGAGGATTTTCTCTAGCAACAGCCCCTTGCTTAAGAGGATGATTTAGAATAGAAGTCAATAGCTCAACACCTAGAGCACTTGACATGCAGCATAAAGCTGGTCTTGAGACTGTGCACTGTTAATCAAGAGTACGATCAGCAACTGAGTTTCTGGGAGCGACTATATCATTACAGAAATAGCAGCCAAGCCTGTCACCATTCACTGTATTATCGTGATGCTAAGTAGAGAGACCATGTCTCATTACCAAGAATGTTTCAAAGCCAAGAGCTATTGTAAGACAAATCTTCTTATGAGCAGCAGCTATTACAGTGGGAAGCCATCTGCTCTCTCTAGAGTCAGTTAATAGAAAGACAACATCATGTTCTTAGATTAAGGTCTCTAGTTGATTGAGATCACTGTATAGTTCATCTAAAGCTTCCTTGTTGTTTCCAACTGCATGGCCAGGCATTGGTATTCTCAATTTATGACCTGAGGTGTTTACACTTGGGAATATTTCTTATAGTCTCATTGCAGCAATCGACGCCTTTTCATTGTCTGGCTTATGAGAATCCTCAAAAGTAAACAGACATTGTCTTACAGGATTAGAATAAGATACCTTCCCGTAATCTACAAATGTGATATTCCTATAACCCCATGAGAGAAGATTTCTTGCCACTTGACAACCAAGTGAGCCAGATCCCAACAATAAGCACTTCTATTCTTTCAATATGTCTAGGTCAATACCAGGAATCATTCTCCATTTCATCAGTTTCAAATTCAAATCGCAAGCTTACTCTGATATCATGTTAGGATCCATTTATTCTTTGAGAGTGAGAGTGACTGTTCTTAACTGGCTAAAATCTATTGGTTTGACTTTAAGATCAGTAATTTGATCTTCAGACTTTACAAATTTAACTTCAATGTAAAACGATTCATTTAGATTGACTTGCTCAGAAAGTTTGGAAATCTTATCTCTTATTGAAATTATCCTTATAATTTTCTCTTAGCCTGGGGATAAATCTGATGAATTTTTCTGGAAATAATGATTGAGTTTCGTTAGAATATTCTTTAGCAAAATTGAGGGCAATAGTGGAGATGCATCAAAGAAGCAGAGATATCCATTTGGTTGAAGTGATGCTTTTATATCATCACTAACAGAGAAAGCATTATCTTCGTTTTAACTGACTGTAATAACTATCTATGTTTGCTCTACTCCCTTTATGTACTCTAGTAATTTCTGACTTAAATTTGTCATCTAATCCTAGTTCATAATGGTTTTAAGTTTATTTGATTTTATCATTGGGAAATTTGTTCCTTCAAGCTCTGGTAGTGCGAATCTATATATTTTAGATATTATTTTCTATCTTACTTGTAAAAGTAGTTGTAGTTTTTGAGATCACCAAAAGAGTATATAATGATTGAGTTTAAATTTTGGAAGTCATTTTCATCTAAGATTCCCTTTGTTGACTCTAAGAATATAGACTCAAACTTAGAACCAGCTTAGAATTCCTCAATAGTATTAGTATGATGAAATACTCCTTGCAATTCCTAAGTCAAAAGCCCACCAATCACTTTTCTCTTTTACTACTTTAGGGAATTCTCATCGATTGATATATTTTGAGGATTTTTCTGGTTCATAGGTAGAGATACTAAGCCGTTGATTTGTACCATGGGGTTTTAGAGTCTCCAGATATCAAGTTTCATCTAATCAAAGTTTTATCTTTTTTATGATTACCTTTGTGAAAGTCATCCAAAATGAAACATCGACTAGTGGTTTAATTGGTTAATAGTTCAAAATTGACTCCATAATTAAAGTTAAGATTTAGATATTTTTGTTATAAATCTTACTGATATCTTTTAAATAGGCAATGAGGGGTTTTGGGGTTTTGGGGTTTTGGGG